GATAAATATAGAACATATTTCCGATAGCGTCCATAATGATCCATAACAATCATTATAAGGTTTTTGTGAAGTTTTCCCTCATTTGACACCTTTGTTTTGGACAAAGTCGAAATTGATATAATCTGACTAGTTCATAAAACAAAAACATGTACCCGAGTAATAAGTCAAAAAGCCGTATGTAACTGTCTCTACTCTGATATTGATTAATCTCATACCGATAAGGTACCAAATAAATGTTGACAAATGGAATAAAGATACTTAGCACAGCCTAGGACTAAACATCGTGTAATTATTTTACTTATGGGCATAGATCAATTAGCTACAAATAGTATTAATTTCATTGTAGATATTAGCAAAAATACGGTTATTACTAATAGCCTAAAAGTTTTCGACTTCATGGGCAAGGCAAAATTAAAAAGATTCTATTCAAGCCCCTAAAGCATATCATATAAAATTGGAAAAAAGGAGAGAAATGACTATCTATGTGACATGTGAAAAAAACAGATTAATAGCAACATTAGTGTTAACAGCACGGATTCGTTTAAAGCTAAACGGACGCCAGTGGATTCTTTTTTTTCTGAAAAAATAAAAATATTTTGACCGAAATAGGAGACAAACACAGAAATGCCATTACTGCCTATAATAGCCCACATTAAGAAATCAAAGTCCTCCAAATTGAAATATAAATATCGTGCTTGTTCTTAAATATATAAAGATAAATAAAGTCGCAATAAAAGAATAAGGTTAAAAAATGATTACACAAGCAAATTCAAATGTTAGGCTAGGATAGAGAAGCCACGAACAAAACAGCAAAATATTAGCCAATTGTCATCTTATAAATAAAAATAAAGATTCGAATGCTTATATTCACCTGCAACACCATCTGCAAAAATTTAGCATCCGGAGGCTGGTTGGCAAGAGCCGTATTGAGCTGGTCCAGCCGGCGCTGCACGTCCTCCAGAGCTACTTCTACAGGGCAGAGAACAAAATTCTCTCGTGATACAACGGGAAGACGAGTTTTAATATATGGAAAGTACCGAGCGGTGGTGAGAATAGTTTTGCGCTTATACTGCTCCGCCAAAGTGCCATGAACATGACCATCCAAGGTGAAAGGAGTGGAATGAATAAAACGATCTGAAAATGTATAAAGTGAATAAAAATAAATATGAGACAATTTAAACAAACAAGAATAAGACCAAATTATATAAATTTGTCCTGATGAATATTATTAAAGCAAAATGTGCTAACCGAAAATATATTTGTAAATTGGAAAGAGTTTAGGAAATATTTAGCCAAACGTAGTTTGAGGTTAAAAGGCATTTTTTCCAATCGTATGATCATCTAAAATAAAACGCCACAAAAGTAATATCTCGAGGTCAGCTCGAGAGGCTCTATTTGGAACAAAATCCATAAAAAACGCTCCAATGTTTAAGAGAGTAATAAACGAGTGTGAATAGGTTATGTAAATCGTAAGAAAACATGAGATCTAAAAATATTCAAACAATTGCTAGCAAGTTTCCTTAAGATATTCATTGTAGAGAGAGGTGATGGGGTGAAAAGACTCACTGACGGCATAGTTCCTATAGAATTCTAAAGGGCGGCGACGAATTTCCAGTTCGTCGAAATATGGTTCGACGAATGTCACTTGAAGGTATGCCTAAATAAAAGAATATATGAGTGTCAAAAGGGGATAGTAGTGAGTTAAACAAAAATGCAGCACTCAAGTAAGTATTAGGCTAATAATAGAGACCACTGGCTGGCACAACCGGATGACACAGTTGAGCGATATACAATGCAGGAATAGATAATAGAACAAGTCCTAATATGCTTGTAAAAAATATATTAGAAGTTGAAGTTGAAGTTTACCTTGCCCTCTTCCAGATTCGATCGATTAACTGAATTCGAATCCTTTAGAACCTCAACACAGCCTTCACCAAACTTAGCTTCGAAGTATGACTGAAAAAAATAGGACATTATTTAAAATAAAAGTAAATGAAGTTCAGATAGGATAATTCGATAATAGCAAAAAGAATTCTAGAAACTAGGCTCAAAATAAAAAGATGAAAGAAAGCCAGTGAAGAGGACAATATTAAAGCAGTAAAATGAACTTCAAAATAAATCATCATTCAATAATTTAAAGTGGGAAAGTGTGGGAAAGTGTTAATGACCCAGGATATGCCCTGACCGAGACTGCGTAAGTCTGTAAGCAACTGTGGTTGAGATGTGAAAATTGTAGTCGACCCTCGATGAGAACTTTTGAGAAAGCAAGGGTATGTGAAATTCAATGAAAACGTCAGCTTTACTCATATCATTGTGGGAAAATTAAACTACCAGTTTTTCATTACCTCAAACGAAATAGGGTGAGATGTAAATCAGGTTACGTAATCACCTGTCTTAGCCTCTTAGTCCAGTCTTTAAGGTTTAAGCACCAAAGAAAGGCATGACTGAGGCTGCGTAATCTCGTACGTCTGGTTAGGTTGATGAGCTTAATCTAAGACGTTGAACGAGTGAGAGTGAAATTAGAACCATCACTGAACAGGCAAGTTGAATCGTCTTCTATTGGATAGCGGCTTAACACTCCCTACTTAAATCAATCAATCAAGTATAAGTGGTTCTCAATTAACTTTTATTCATAGTTCCCCATATTCAACATATGTCATAATCTATCAATATTAATAACCTCTTACTTTTATTTAAACAGCAAACGTATCATAATCAGCGAATCTAATCCCTTGGGTTCGGCTACTTCTGACCTAGCTGACAACTCAAGCATTTTTCTGTTCACCTAATCCTTATGTGGACTCACCAACATAAATTTGACCACAGAATCGCGCAAACTTGTTGCAACCGGATTGAGATAATCGGTAATATTTCTCTCTAAAGGATATAATGACAGAGGAAATTGTGAGGGTTCATTCTACCACTATTTTTATACCCCACTTTCTCATTAGCTTGCCTATCTTTTGAGAAAGCGGGCAGGATGGAAAAATTAAGACATAAGAAAAGGTATCTGCTTGTCTATATTTGAGTAAATAGTCTCGATCTAAAAATGTATTCCTCAGTAGAGTGGTATTATTGGCACTTAAGCAAAAGGATAATTATTTTCTAGGAAAATATATCTTGGTCGTTCCAATTATTTAGTCAAATGGTTGTAATCCGCCAGTATCATACGCCTAATAATCAATGAATTTAAAATTCCAACCTTAATTTTGCAACTATGGCTGGAAAGAAAATTAGGATGGGCCAACTTATGTTGGCTTCCTATAAACATCTCTTCCTAGCCTACCCTCTTCTCTAATAATCATAACATCCGAAAAGGATAGGAGCCTATTATCTTCAATTTCCATTGTTGATCCAACGTTACTTTCACGTTTACGAAGAGAGAGTAGGACACTATCTAAACCTTCTTTATCATGAGGCTAGATGACAAAATAATCAGCCATATATCTTACCAACAATTTAGGGGGTTAATAACGACTCATACAGAAAGATTTCCTCATATTTTGCCATATAATTGTCCTCAAGAGCGAACCAATTGCAAGTCCATGTGTTTGTATATGAAGCTAATCATCAAAGATAAAATTGATGCTACTCATGGATAGATTAACAAGTCTATGTATGGACGTTATAAAAAACGTATTCCTTGTGTGATTTCTAGATAAATCTTAAGAGTTTTTACTAGAGCCCGAATAGCTCATTGATCAGGAACAGTGTTTGTGTGCATAGACACAACATAAAAACTTACTAGCCTATCGTCTTCTAAATTATCTGCTGATCAACTTATTATACAAACATTCAAAAAGAATTTTCTATATATTTCTGCGGCATTAGTCTAATCATGATGAAAGCCGACAAAGTTAGTCATGGATAGGTCAAATTATATTTAAAAAATGCTAGTTCATTTGAATGATACCTAAACAGATATACCTTTAAAGAGAGATCTAACAGAAATACTTAAGACTAGACTAGCGAATAGCAATCACTTGACTAAAGAATTAGAAAGGCTGAAAAATTTATTCCTGTAAAATAATTATCATTTGAACCTCATTGAGAATAATATCTCTTTACAAAGAAATAAATTTTGATACGGAAACCATTTAGTCAGAGGGACAAGCTGAGACCTTTCCGCATGTCCCGATTTTGCTGTCATGCCGTTTTTCAAAAAAGATAGGCGAATTAATAAGAAAGTGGAGAATAAAAGCAGTGATAAAAAAACCGTCATAGTTTATTCTATTATGCCGTCTTTTAGAGAAAAATATGACCCATTAACGAGATATGGCTGCGACAAGATTGTCTGCTCCTGTGATCGATCTTATTTTGGTGGGAGATGACGACCTATTCGACAAATACTGGGGAAACACAAAATGTTTGTAAAGGAAGCTTGGTTATAAATGGTCCAACACATGACAGAGACTGAACATGACGTAGAATAGACTCAAATATTAGGTTTGCTGATAATGCTACGTCTGCTG